TATTCGGGTATCCTTTTGTCTCGACCGCACGTCATGGCACGTGTTATTTTTCGGTAAGCGGCAACCCAGAAAGAACTGTAATGCGGACTTTTTCTTAGCCTGGGAGCAGGCTTATTCTGCGCTTTTATTTTTATATGGTCTTCGTCTCTTGATACTCGAGTTCAAATAAGAAGAAGTACAAGGAAACTGACTCAAACACAATGTTCCGATTTAGGGAGTACCTAAGACGGAATTTTATTCAAAATTACCGTGCGCGTTTACACGCTTAACGGAACTTATTATCATTAAGACATTCATAAATATTTGGCATTTGTTTCAACCTTTCATTGTATGAAGAAATATCCTGCATTGATACGGAAAGTAGAATGAGGTTTACAGTTTCACAAAAAGATATCTCTATGTTGTGCAGCTAAACTGGGGCTTTCCAATCACTTTGAAAAAAAAGTCTCTTAACATGACATGACAAGTTATTGCCACCAACACATAGTATGCAATTATGGCGGGGGGGGGGGGGGGGGGGCACGAGGGCCCACCTCCTCCTTTTTTTTGGAGGGTTTTTTTTTTTTTTTTGTTTTTGTTGGAGCACCAGCTGTAAATCTCGTCTCAACATACAGGGACTGTTTACTTTCTTTTCTGACAAATACAAAAAAATAAAGAAAGATGTTTTTTATGTATACAAAAAATTTTTTTTGCTTTTGGCAAAGACAAATGGGGTCTTTAAACAATTTAAAAAAAAAAATTTTTCTTAACAGAAAAAAATTATTTACCCCACACACAAGAAAATTAGAATGGGGGGGGGGGGGGGGGGGAGGAACTCAAGGTCCACTCTCCTCTTTCTTGACAGCAGCTGTTTATTTATTTTGTGTTGTGTTTGTGTTTTTTTCTTTTCGTTTTCATCTTTACAAAAAGTTTGAAGAGCTTACCCCGATCTACATCTTCTGTTACGGACATAAAAATACCGGTCTCGAGTCCGCTTTTGTCCGTAAACAACAGTATTGTTCTTTCTCTTCCTTTTTTTTTTTTTCTCTCTTCTTTATTTCACTGGGTGCAAAAGAGAAGAGAAAAACGAGTAGTGTTTTATCTTAACAACTGCCATCAATCACGGCTCTTTGACGGTGGCGCACGAATAATTATATGGTGGTCGTGGGTTCATTCGACTGGGCAGCAGGTTAAACTGTACACGTCATCGCAAAGGGTAGTACACTGTCCGAGATATTAGAGACTTCTAGATGCGTTTGCAAAAACAACTAAAACTATTTCTGAGCTATTTTCTGCAAGTTTCTATCGTGAGAGGATCCGTTGTTACTCCATGGCTTTCTGCTCGGAAAATGTTTTTTTTAGGCACAAGAGCTAAAAAAAGATATGCCAAGTCGGCAAAACAAAAACTGGAGCACTTGAAACATGACGTCAATCATGTCACCGCCAATTCAATTCTAGAACAACGCAGAACTTTTAAGAAGTTAGCCTTTTTGCGCAGGCTCTACCAGCGAGAGCTTAAAATCAAAACTGTCCGTCACACTCGGTCACCTGCCAGTCGATAAGAACTGCCGATAGCTTCTTCTGTCATTTGAAAACACTTCGAAAAATGTCACTGTTAACCGCGTGTGTACTCGTCCAATCAGTAATGTTGGGCTTAAAGGTAAGTGTTACACACGCACTCACAGTATCAGTCAACTTATATGCAAGGAATGGGCAAACTTAGAGCTTAGAGGAATTGCTCTCAGAGAAGTTAAAAGTCAGTAAATTTTAAAGTCTTTAACACGTAATAATATGTTTTTATCGCGAGATTGAAACATGTTATAACGTGGTTTAAGGCTTTTTAGCGCCCCATCCGGCGATCGCGACCTCACTTCACGCCCTTGGAATCGAAGAAGATAAAAAAAGAAAATTAGTGGGTCTCTAATTACCTGAATGGTAATATTTTCCTATAAAGCGTCAATAATCGCTGGAGTAAGTGAACGTTTTTCTGAAGTATTACCTATAAACTTGGTATCTACTTTTAACAGAAGCATGCTATTACGGCACGCGTTAACGTACGGGGAGTGGAAATCAATGAACGCGGAAGCCTGGTAAAGTTTTAAATAATTTAATTTGAAGTTTGTAACTCTCTAAATTAATATTATGATACAATGAAACTCAATTGATAGTTTATGACTCGAGAGGCAGGATATTTTTGCTGAACAAATCGCACTCCTTAAGTCGGAAAAAAAACGATACACCCAACTTGACCAAAAGACATCAGGCGTAACCACTGAGCGTCAAAATCAAGATTTATTGGCCAATTTTCTCTCGGGCAAACAAAATAAATATTCTACTTCACTAAACGCCAAAATAAAAAAATAAAAACCCGCTCCTCCTATTATTGCTTAATTACAGTTTCACGTGAATATTGCATGGTCTTCAAATGATTTCATTTGAGTAATTTATCGTAGGAAGCCGGATATATTAGCCATTTGAATGCCCACTCACCTTTGAACAATTTTTTTTGGGGAGAGCTCATTAGCACCTAAAAAATATTATGATAAGTTACTTTTATTGTCCACTAGTCTCCTTTCAGACGCAAACAAATCGGGTTAAGGATCTTTTTGATAACATGAAAATATTGCCAGGTCATGCAACAGGATAGGCGTTTCCTTCAGATAAAGCCTTTTTGTAACCTTGTATGTTTCTTTTGATGAATCCATACTTCAAACTAACAACTACCTCTTAAAAAAATACTATTGTATTTAATCCACGGAAAATATGAAAAAAATGTGGTTCATCGATATTGGTTATCGGCCTAAGTAACCGGCCTTCTCATGAAGTCGACATCTTTCCAATTAGTCTTTATCAATCTGAAAAACCATTTGTATATGGCGAGTTCAGTTTTTTTAAATCTGTTTGAATGATTGCATTAAAGAAACGCTGTAGGGCCAGTTGCGTTGGGGTACAGGCATGTAAGGAATTTCGTATTTCCACAGTTTTTTTCCTGAGGGTACATGGTGAATCACATTGAAAGCTGCCGTTATATTTTATGATAGAGGAAAGTGAATATCGCGCCGCGCTACAATATCGTAAAGCTATTAAGAAAGAATACAACAAAAGGTTTTAACAATAAACTGATCTCGAGAATAGATTAATTAAAAATGTTTTATTTTAATGCTTTGCTATTTATAAAAATAGACCCTTATCACTGGAGTGTTAAAGAGTAATATATGCCGATCAACGCTTAGTATAATCACGTGTTTGTGAAAAGAAATGACGATGATGATATCGCTTCAATCAGCTCTTATATCATTTATGCACGCTACCAAACAGGTCAAGTAGAGTCGAGGTCAATACCACACAGACCGCACGCGTCGTTATACGTCCGTTACGAAGAAATATATATATTGCATGTGCTTCAAAATATAGCGTATTTTTCTTCACTCATTGCTCGTAATAAATACATCTGTTTTAGTTTTTACTCCTCTAGAGGCTAGGGGGATAATCCAGTCTTGCGAAAAACCACTAAGCCTCTGCTGAAGGCAGAAAACTCAGTAACCATGAACACAATTCAAGCCTATTTGTACTAACATAAATTTCGGATAGGTGTATGCTGCCCAAGGTCTTAACAATGTAACATACAGTTGCTAGGAGCAATTAACAAAGTCTAAATGCTCTTACAATGCAAGTAATCATTAATAAATATAAAAATAAAAATATCATAATGATCGAGTACAACTTGTCCTAATCCCGCATTTCTGCTCTTTTTCACGAAAATCCCGCATCCCGCACTTTTTTTCATCACTTTCCCGAATCCCGTTTTTGTTTTCATTAGTTAAAAAGGACCAATTGCTGCAAAAGCCAAAAATTAACCCGTAGATTGGCCCTTTTGATTCGTTTGATATTTTGACATAGCTTTTCATACCCCCGTCAGATGACGAAGCGGTTGATTCACATTTGCCAATTTCTTATTTTACGATTTACCGAATTCCTGATAGACAGGGGAAAAAAAACAGTCTCACGTCCCGTGCCCAAATTTTGGTGAATCCGGCTTCCCGGGTAGCAGTCAGATCTCGGTTTCTCTCAATATGATTTGCGTTTTCCCGAATCCCTCAAAATATTTTGGCCAAATCCCGGATCAGAAAACAGATCAACTGAATAAATACAATGCAAAAAATACATGAATGTGTCCAGGAGCCAGATTACTAAAATTTTTTACAAGAGTGTAATTTACAAGTGTACCTATTATAAATTTTGGAATTTTTCAAAAACTCCTCAATAACTCATAAAGAAAAAACAAAAGAAATTAATGCGGTTTAATAAGTGTCTTTATATGTGATGAAACATGGCTAAAGTTTACGTCCAATTCTTTAGAGCAAAATAACCCTAAATCTAAATATTAGTGCAAGAATGAGTTGATCTATATCAGAGATTATGAAGCCGTTCGCCTCGAGTTTTTAACCTGATAATACACTCCTGCAAGGTTTTTAAACAGTACGAAGACAATAGCAACACTTGTAAAATGCACCCAGGGGTCAGAAAGCCAGTAGCTCGTCCCTACATATAAGACACAACGATAATGTATAGAGGTCTAGGCAAAGTCGGCGACCGCCCCTTCCTCAATGACGCGATCAGTTGACGGAACTGGGCTTGATTAAAGTCACGGCCACCATAATCTTAAAGGCCCATTAGTAAATAAAATTTCCCTGCCTTTTTTGGGGTTCACTTTAAACACAGCTGGTTACACTTGCAAAAAGTCAACATAACGGTTAGGCTCGATTACCACTGTTCGGGAAATAAGCCGGCGCTCCTCCCCCCAAAAAACGGCCGTCTGTTCTTTTGGAGGACCGAGAGAGCGGCGAAAATCAAGCCTACATAACGGTAGGCCATGTTAGAGAGAGAAAAAAAATCATTCATTTTTAAAGGTCTTCTTGGTCGGTGAATTGGCCCTTACAAACTGAATCAAATCTTACTTTGTCCAATTTCACATTCTCTTCCAGTTGGCTACAGCGTCAACTAGCTGTCCGTCCGCCGATCAGTACTGGAATGGTACGTCATGTACCTCTTGCACCAAGTGCGGGCCAGGGTACGGTGTGAAAACCAAATGTAGCGAAAAGCAAGACACAGAGTGTCAAGAATGTTGGCCTGGGTACGACTGGTCGAATAACACGAACATGGAACCGTGTCTTTAGTAAGTTAAGTTGCACGCAGTACCTGTGCTTGTGGTTTATTTTCGAAAAATAAGAGTTAATAGAATTAATAGACCTCTTTAGCTTTTATGTTTTGAAGGCCTCAGGGGAATTCCCCCTTTGACCTTTCACAAATCAATGAATGAAATAGTCTTCTAGATTATTATCACATGACCTACATTGGGAAAACAAAACATACAAGCTTAAAAGGTCTATTGTTGGCGCACTGGTAGGTTCGTAATTGAACGCTGTCTCAAAATCAACGTCGCGCACAAAAATGATGGGTGAACATTGGCCTTCGAGAAAGATCACTAGAATCATGAATCATATGCCATCACAATCATGTGTTCGACACAACAGTAGCCCAGTCTCTGGCTCAGCCACAAACTGGCCAATAAAACAAACCGCATAAAAAGCATCTCAGAAGCATCCCTCTCTCTCTCTCTCTCTCCTTCCCCACCCCCTTCTTCACCCCCTCCCCATTCACCTCCACACAAAAACGGTCTGAACGTGCCCATTACATTTGTAAGAAAAAATAACAAATTTCTTTTCTCGCACGACAGCTGTATAAATGAAGTCTCGGAATGCCTGGAAGGAAACTTCAAGATTATTCGCAACTGCACCACAACTTCCCCGACAATGTGCAAAGGCTGTGCGGAGGGGAATTACTTCGATCCAGGCTACGGAGAACATGGAGGATGTGTTCCTTGTTCACAGCCATGCGGTATTTTTCAAAAGGAGACAAGGAAATGCGAAACTGCGCATGATCGTTTATGTACCGCATGGGATCCAACTGAACTTTTGGGAAAAAGTAAGCCTATTAAAAATGGATCTAGAGCTCTCAAGATGCCAGGCCACCTAAGGCCTTATTTCTTATTATTCTTTATTTCCTATATTAATTTGTTTGTTTATTTATTTTCTATTGATGTCAATTACGAAAACTTACTCCTTATTTTTGGTTCAATTTATTTGTTTAGGATAATTCAGAAAAGTTTCTCAATTTATCACTGTAAAGGTTGGGGTTCGGGGTACATTGCTCGTTTCACTTCTTGTCTTCTGATTTATAAAAAACCCTATAGGGAGCTTCAGGTGGAGTCAAGGAAACTATACTAAATATGTTTATTTCTTGTTTTTGCGGCTGTTTTTGTTCTCACTGTCGGTTCTTCTATTTTTATTATTTTTATTTATTTATTTATTTTTTAAAATTTTCAAGTAGAGTGTGCGTCGGTGAATAACGTTCTAGGATTTTATCATTTTATTTTTGCGTTGGTTTTATCTGGGCGAATGGGCGTACCACGTATCTCTGAATTGACTCAAGTATCATTTTTCGTCCGAGCAAGATGTTACTAGCCCCGATTTTCATAAACAGCTCTTGTAATGCTAAACTTACGGTCGGATATCCATTTGAAAACTTCGTCCTGGTATCAAGGCAAAAGAAAAGCAACACAGAAGATTACTGGCAAAGGCCGTGCATCTATAAATGTCAACTTTTAAAACTGATGGGGAATAGTTTACAATATAAAATTGATGTCGTACTCAGATGAACTGATCGAGCAAGTGATTTTCCTCCTTTTCAGTTTTTTTCTTTCATTTGTTTTGATTTACTTGGTTTTTACAATCAACTTTCTTTCTTTTTGTAAATTTATTTATTTATTTTGCCACAAAGATAATATTACAATGTTGTGAAAAGTTGTCCCGGGTCGGAACGATCGCCGGCCTACACCTGAGCTACCCTGGGTGAACCAACTTTTCAAACATTTCCTTACAAAACGAGGCGAGCCGTTTACATGAGAGACAAAAAGTTGGCCTGGTCAGAATGGTGATCCGCCTTGCTTTTTCACCCTTTTTCGGTGGTAGAATCACCCTCCTAGCCCGGCCAGCTTTTCTTTATATAAACCCCTTTGCTCGTCCAGCCGGGTCAACTCTGTCAAGACGGGCGCTATTTTAGACAATCAGAGAATAGGCGAACGCTGTTGAGTCGGGCAAAGAAGTCACCTTTTTTTTCCTAAAAGACGCCTAATCGCTTTTTCTTCATATTAGCAAAGCCTAAGAACAGTTTTTTTTTTTTTTTTTAAAAGGCGAAACCTGTTGGGTCGGGCAAAAAAATCACCTTTTTTTTCCTAAAAGACTCCTTTTCTCTTTTTTTTCACATTAGCAAAGCCTAAAAACAGTTTTTTTTTTTTTTTTACAAAAGTTAACGTTCAAAACGAATAACATTTCGACCGTCCGACGGTCATTTTCAAGTTCAGGATAAGAAGCAGAAATTAGCTAATGAGTCAGTATCTAGAAGTATCTCATTAGTCCATTCACGGTTGTATATGAGCACATGCTAATTTTTAATTTATTTTTTATCCTGAACTTGAAAATGACCGTCGAACGGTCGAAAAGTCAGCGTTCTTTTTTAACGTTAACTTTTATAGTTAATTCCGTTCCAAAAAAATTATGTTTAAAAATATTTGTCAATCTTAAATATGTGAGTATATTAATAATTATGTGTTTTAAACGCGTCAAATGCAGTTGTTTTTCCTCCAGAGAGAGAACAGGTTGACTAACCATATCCATCTATCTTTCTTTACATTGACTACTCCTGTTCCAGAACAGACTGAAAATATTCCAAGTGAGTATATTAATAATTATGACAAATAAACGCGTTAATTGTTGATTTTTTTACTCCAGGAAGGGGACGGGTTGACTAATTATGTCCACTGATGTATCTTTACAGCCGCTACTCTTGTTCCAGAACAGACTACAAATAGTCCAAGTAGCCGCCCTTCTCCAAATGCAGGCACAAAACTTCCCACACAACAGAACGTAATAAAGACTAATGATGTACCAGAGGAAACAACGGGGGAGACCAAGCTATGGTTTTTACTCTTCCTCCTTGCCCTGATCCCAGTAATAGGAGGAGTTGTAGTCTGTAGATATTGGCAAAAAAGAAGGAGCCGGAAGCCTGAGAGAAAGAACTCTAGAAGTGTTGAACAAAAGCGTCCTCTCATGTCACGCACACCACGTAAGTTTCTCATTTACAAAAAAAAAAGCGTGATTTATTTTCTGGTCTTGCTCTAGAAACTGCAAAAGTTAAGATAACCTTATCGTTATTGTGTTATAAGCGAGGGGTAACGACTTTAACTTCTTGAACGAATGTTTCATTATTATGCTTATTCTGATGCTCTATGGAACCAAGTTGAAGAATTCATCCTCCCCATCCATGACACGATCACTAGTCAATCGATCACTCCCCTCGAGCTCTGCAAACAGCATTTTGATTATCAGTCAGAGCAATGTATTTCAATGGGCTACATGTAGCTCTCATGGATTATTCTTTGACTTTGCGTTGATTTCTAATTTGAAACTCTAATCAAAGAGTCAACAAAAACTTGTATTAACTCGTTATTCTTCATCCCTTTTATAAATATATGTATGCATTCATTTAAATGTATTCAGTTTTTTCCTCCTCTTTTTTGTTCTCCAGGTGGCTTAGATACGTTGGTCCGAGATTTACTTGTTGAGGACAGAAGGTTTATTTCAAGTTTTCTTAATGGCAAAACCTCTGATGGTAAACTCTTAGTCTTGTTTTGCTAAACACTTATTTGGGCGAATAACAGGAGAATTGAGACTATTCTTGGAAAGCTTGTTCGAGACTTCCCGGAAATTTTTTATAGTATGTAAAGAATAGGCCAATCCGGCTAGAGTTCCAAAAACCCTCACTTTCAAAACGAGGCAAAACCTCTTATGTGAAAATGAGTTTTATTTGCAGGAGAATAAAAAAAATCATTTTCTTGTGTAGCTTCGCACTTAGCCTCGCTTTGACATAGAGGTTTTGAACAACTCGGAAATCTAAGTTAATACTTTCATAGGAAAGTACTGCTCAGTAGCTTTCATCAGAATGGTGACACTTTACTTTGAATAGTATTTCATTCCAAGAATTCGGCAAAACTTAGAAAGATTTTGTACAGCACTTATGAACAGTACCGCAGGAAAGTAGTGCTTTCATTTTAGTGTTTACACTCGACGATCTTTTTAATTTCACGCACAGCTAGGCTTAAAGTTAGAACCACTATGTTTTATCAAGTATGTAGAATTATAAGCGAGAAGCGTTCATCTCACGCTTTTGTTCACAGTTTTTTGGAAATAAGTGAAAGGTTCGATGGAAATCTGATGGGTTGATGAGTCATAACAATTACATTTTTGTTCTTTTTCAATTTAGGTTACTACCACTGCCAATTGGTTGCAGAAAAACTGGGAATTAAACAAGACGAAATTAGACGATGGAGTCAATTTCCCGAAAACCCTACCGAGAAATTTCTTGCCGCTTTAGGTGAAATGGAAAATGGCACCATTGTGATGTTAATTGACGCTTCGAAGCAGGTGGAGCTGACTCTCTTTGCCGATAAACTGGAAAAGAGATTCAGCCAAGAAAATGTAGCGGATGAAAGACAAACATGGGTGTAGTATGTAATAGATAGAGGGGATCTTTAGGCCCAGTTCATACGTCGATTTTTTCATATATGTACCGAGTCTAATCTCCTCAATTAAGTACATAAAAAGATCGACGTTTGAATCAATTAAGTTCGACATATCTAACTTGGGTCCAGCCATGAATTAAGTTCGAGTGGTCCACAGTGGAATTTCGATTGAGGAGCGACTTGGTTTCAAACGTCGAACTTCTCATGTGCTGAACCTTATGCACAAATTACTGTAATTCATTTTCACTAATCCACATTGACTTTGTAAACCATTGTACATCTGTAAAAATGAATTGAGTTCGACGAATTAAGTTCGACGCCTGAATCAATCGTCGAACCCGAACCAAATAGTCGTTAAGTTTGGTACATGAAAAGTTGAACGTTTGTTGTTTTACCAGCTCCTGTTTAGCCTGCGTGGCAGGCGTTTGAAAGGGAAGGGAAAGGAAGTTTTAGGTGCGAGAGAAACGTCGTAAGAATGTTTTTAGTTCTTTTTCATTTAGGTACTGTATGTAGGTAAAAATTATTTAGAATATATTCTTTGGTTGCGTAAAATTTTGGTAATAAGACACAGACCCGCGACAAAGGAAGGCGTTGCCGGCTCAAAAATGGCGGTTTCTAAACTACTCCACATCAGTAGGAATATGATCAGATGGGGTAAAAGGTCATTTTCTATTCATTTAGTCTTCTATTCGTTATCGGGTCGTATTTCACTTTGGCAGCTGTGTGCCTGGGATCTAACTAAAAGCCACAAAGTACAAAGGGATGGGGTGATGGAAATATCAAGGGCAAGTTAGAGGTGGGGTGTGTCCTCCATCAAGTTTTCTGTTGGAAGTAGGAGAACGATTTTGCATTTTTCCATCCTATTTGTATAGGTAATAGCATGATTAGTAGTGATATTTGGCATAAATACCACGAGTGATACTTCAAAATTGTTATGCGTAATTTCACGAGCCATTAGGCGAGTGAAATTTGAGACAATTTTGAAATGCCACGAGTGGTATTTATGCCAAATATCACGTACTAATCATGCTATTATTTGTTTATACCACTACCCACAAAAGGTTGTAATTTTCACATGTAGGTATTTCAAATTAGGCTGAAATACCACCTCTCTAAGCCAATGAAATTGCAGAAATTTCTCATGTAGTAGTATAAAGGCTGAAATCAGGGTAGTTGATAACCAATCAGATTTGAGAATTTTGTTACAGTTATGATTAAGTCATTTATACTACTACATGAGAAATTTCTGCAATTTCATTGGCTTAGAGCGGTGGTATTTCAGCCTAATTTGAAATACCTACATGTGAAAATTACAACCTTTTGTGGGTAGTGGTATAAACAAATAATAGCATGATTAGTACGTGATATTTGGCATAAATACCACTCGTGGCATTTCAAAATTGTCTCAAATTTCACTCGCCTAATGGCTCGTGAAATTACGCATAACAATTTTGAAATATCACTCGTGGTATTTATGCTAAATATCATTACTAATCATGCTATTACCTATACTAATAGTCATGCCTATTAAGTAATTGGACAGTAAGCGCCATCATGCGCGCACTTAAATGGCTTTTTTTTTCATTGCTAGCAAAAAAAATCTTGGAATTTCTTGTGTTTTGGTTTTGAAAAGAACCTTATATATATCACAAATTTTGTTAAAGTTATGATTAATTGGTAACAGAACCTCGTGTGGTCCAAGTCGGTCTGTAATCATACTCGTGATTAAACAAATCGGACGACCGCGTAGCGGGAGTCCGATTTTGTTAATCGAGTGAATCACTCGTATGACAACAGACCGAATTGTACTCCACTCATGTCCCGTTACCATTTAACTCGACCTGTCTGGTCTACACTGGTCTCCTTTGATTTAAAGTCCTTGGAGACTAGCGCCAGATCACAGAACGAATGGAATGATGGGAAGGATACCTCTTTAATTTATATCAAATTCTCCTGTGAATACTAAAAAAGTAAATACAAACAATGAGAGATCAATCAGGAAGATTTGGAATCCTAACAACGATCTATGGTCGGCTACGTTTTGGTCCAACAAGGCAGCGTGTGTTAATAAAACAATATTTAATATATATCTCATGGCCAAAAAAATGAAGGCTATCCAATGTTGAGCCGAAATAATTCCCATTTATTTACGAATCTTGGTTAAGAAACCAAACTTGTTGGACGCTGGGGTAAAGTATTTTTGAACACTGTAGTAGGTATGAGAGTAGCATATGACATGGAAAGTCATTTTGTTGTATATCACAGCAGAAACCTAACAAAAAAAAAGTTTGTTATAACATAGTCGAAAGCCGCTTTATGTTGATGTTCACAGTGTTAGAGCAGACGTCACTTTCTGTTTTGAATAGATCGTGCAAATTAGTTGTTCGCAATTTATAGGGTCTGGAAAGAAAGGTCCGCCAAATCGTGTTTTTCGCCATGCATCCCGCATTCGTGCCCAAATTTTGGCGAATCTTGCCTCCCGTAGCAGTTAAAACCCAATATCCCGTTAACCTTTCCTTAACTCTCTTTACTTGTTTTCATATTTCAATCGGTAACACCATTTATAGAAATGGTACTACTGAATAAACTTGTTGTAAGTTTGTGGAATTTAGGGTATTGTTTTGACAAATGTTTTGAGTGTTTCCATGGACGTAGTCCGCGGAATAACGGCTTTATGTAAGTTAGAGACAAATTAAAATAATGTTCTGTTTTGATTTCTTCAGGATTTTTTTCTAATAAAAGACAAAGTTTTAGCTCAAGGACTATACTCTGTGTAATATAATACAGACGCTTTGCATGGTCCCTTTTGGTGTACGTATTATGGCGGAGTCTTAAGTTACTATAATGTTTTCTTTTAAGATGAAATTTCGACCCTTACTACATTTCTCGCGTGTTGACGAAAGGCATTCATTTTTATGGCCAAAAAATGTCCCATAGCTATTTTAGATTAAACAAATATTCATTACCGGCTATTTATAGTTATTCCCCATTAAAAAAAAAACGACGCAGAAACGTTGATATATAAGTAACTATTCAATAATGCATGATATAGGATGTAATTTCTTCCTTTTCTCCCTTGACACGTTACTTAATTATTCCCAGAGTAGACTAGGGGCACTCAACAATCGAATGTTTCCAAATACGGTCTTTGAGGCAGCCCTAAAAACTACCTATTTGTTCCGAATTTTGCCGTCTTAGGGGAACTTTGGTCATCTCGAAAGTTTTGGGTGGTTTTTCATCTCATCTCATCGCTACCCGATGGGTCACTTCCCTGTCGGAAGAGCATGAAGTAGATGTGCTTTTATTAAAAAATTCTAGGAGACGTTATGTCTTTGTGTCGAAATTTTCAGGACACCTTATAACAATACCGGATTTTCCTTGGAAATAAAATCAGGCGTGAGAAACGCAACCTCCGAATATCCTAATTCGGGCATGGTTATCCTGACCAGAAACTTTAAGCCTTACTAATCATTTGCTCCTTCGAACAGATATTTTACCGAAAAAAGTCGTTGGGGACCCCTGGTTACTAAAGGCAACTTTGAGTCTGTGGATCATTCAGATGGAGGCTACAGCTAGAGCAGTTCTTTTCTGTTGTACTGTTTCTTACATATGTTGGTTCCACCGCCTTTTAATTAGCCTTTGTGGATGAAATCCTAAGTCACCATTTAGAAGAAAGCTACACAATGATAATCAAGCAGTACTCAATTCCTGTAGTGCTTTGTATAATAACCCTCAGTACTAGTTCTAACTTTGAGTTTTGCTGCTCTTGGTTTTGGATGAATTTTAGGAGGCTCCCATCCATTTTTCAAAGTCTCACTCCTTCGTGTTTGATGCTCTATAACTTTGGCTGTGGTGCATGTACGAAAAAGCCATGAACTGAAACAACGTGTTGTTCACCATTTACACTAATAGTTTCTGGGAAATCCATTTGTTTACCCATGCGCGGAGCACTTAGGAGTCCTTAAGAACCCTTTAACACGTGTCCGTGTTTTCCAGATCGAATTGGAATTTGGAATTGTTGGTTTTTGGAAAGAGGGAAAACCGGAACACCCCGAGAAAACCTTCTTGGAGCGAGGGATAGAACCAACAACAAACTCAACCCACATATGGTGACATGGCTGTCGACGCCAGGATTCGAACTCGGGCCACATCAGCGGGAGGCGAGTGCTCTCACCACTGCGCCACCCTTGCTTTATAATTTTTTGGTTCGTTTAGCAGTAGAAGAGTGGTTTTGGTTTCAGTGGTTTAATTTACTCGTGGGATTGAAAGAGTTAATGGTACAACTTAAATTATGCATCTCAGGTCGATTCTTTAATTACAATTGCATTGCTTTAACAAATGCCTTTACTCCTTCAAGCAATCCTTTTCCAACGTAGACAAACCGCTCCCCCCTTCCACTCTGATCTCCCATGGACACAGCGTAGGAATATTTCACACCAAGCTGGCCGTACACCCAGTCAACACTTCCTCCACCTGCTGGACCTGAAAGGTATAAAAAAATTGAATAAATGCCGTAACTGAACCGATGCACCAAACATTCCCCCCCCCCCCCGGTTTTTTCTATTGGTTCTTCCCTTAGACTATGTTATTTTTGGTCTACGGGAGCTCCTCATTTTCCAAACATACCAAAGTATTTAGTACTTCTCATTAGTTTTTTTGAAGTTTATGTTAATTCTTTTTTT